ACAATGGAGATTCAAGTATTGATTCGATCAAATTACCTTTCGATTCTTCAGGTCAGATTCCTTGAACTTCTTAGCTCCAGATTCAGATGAGCGCGCGAAGTTTTTCCTGGGAATTTGAATTTCCTTCATCTCCCCAAATTTGGGCGCTTCTGAGAATTTTCGTTACTGTGAAAGTGAAGACAAGACAAAATATCAAGATATTTGTAGTACGCTTATTCCATGGGCTAAAAGGGCCTATCACTATAACCACCCATTCATGGCCCAATACAGATCGTTCTCGGTCACGAGAAGATAGACCAACTGAACCGTCCAATTTTATTTTTTTTGTTAGTTTGGTTCGGTTGAGACTTGAGGTCAACCGAAAAGAAATTTGGATTAGGTACGGTTTGACTTATTAGAGGCTCGATTTCAATTTGGTTGTAAGGAAAATTAACAAATGGTCGAATTGAAGTTTGAGTATACAAAACGGTTTAGTTGCGAAATTGGAGTTCGGTTCGGTTTTTCTAGTGTTTGGCCGGTTAGATGTGGTTCTAAACACACATCAATTGGGACGAGAATCCGATAGCTTTACGCCCCCATTAGGGTTTTTTCTAAAGTTGAAGCTTGAAACACTTTCGAAGCTCAAAATCTCTGTAGCTGGAGATTTCATTCACCGAAACTCAAGAGGAAGAAGGAGAAAAGGAGGAGAGTTATAGAAGCAATGGAGGGAGCAGAAGAAGCTGGGGCGGAGATAACGGTTGATTCAAAGGACTTACAGCAACAAAGCAAAGCTTTCGACAAGCTTACAGATCGCGTTGAGGATCGTCAGCTCAATTCGTCTCGTGTTCAATCGGTTTGTTGCTCTTTCTTCTTCTACGTAGACCGATCAGTTTCCCTTCGATTAGTAATTCCGACTTGGGGAAATTAGGAGATTCTTAAATTTTGAGCTCAATTAGTAAAGTGATGGGCTTACAAGGTCAGTATCGTGTTTCAGGCTATGGCTTCGATTGCTGCATCTAGGGAGGCTGACCTCAATGCTAAGAGATTGAGGTAATATGGTTCTGTGTTATAAATTCTGGAAAAGTAGATTCTTCGCAGTTCTTAAGGAAGCTAGAACATATATCAAACTCGTTTGTTTAAATTGGATATTGGATTACTCTTGTATTTGAGAGTGTAGCTAATGTCTCTGTTTTCAGTGAAAAAACCTTCCCTGACTGTTTAAATTGGTGTTAAGTAGAGTAAGAGAGTGAATTTTAGAGAGTCTGTTTGATTCTTGTCATCACTCACATCTAGATAGTATTGATGCTGTAATAGCTTTTCCAAGAGAAAATACAGTGAAGATGATCAAGTGAAACAAGTGGCAATTAATTGTGATTCAATGTGATTTACGGGTCAATATCATCTTTTGGCCAAGATGAGAGATTGGAGTTTTTGCGTATGTTCAGTGTTGTAATCGGTTTGACAATTTGCTGGAACTTTATGTAGGGAGAAGGAACTGGCTTCTGTGAAGATCAATGCTGCAGATGTTGAGATTATCGTAAACGAACTCGAGGTTAGCTTCTTTTTTTGTTTCATCACAAGCTTCTAGGCATGAAACATTCCATTATTATAATGCCTGTGTGCAAAAAGTACTGAAATTTCTCATCATTGTAAACGAGCAGCTGGAAAAGAATGTGGTGGAGAGAACTCTAAGGGAGCACAAAGGCGATGCAGTTGCTGCAACTAGGGAATTGCTTTCGCGATATCCTCTATGATGGACCAGGACCGTTTTTTACTTCCAAGTCTTTTTTTTGTTTGGTGAGGTTGAGAGTAAGTGTCCAAATATTTAACTGAGTTTTGAAATTGTCTCAGAGATCAATTGCATTTGCTGAATCAATCCCTCTATGTTTCTATCTGAAGTTTCAAGATTTGAGAATGTTGTTCCTTATTTGCAATTGCTTGGTCTTGAACTGTAATAAACTGTCATATTACAGTTTATTCGAACCCGAAAAGAAAAATAAATCGAATGATCCAAATTGAATCCCATTCATATATTCCGAAAAATGATCAGCCTTACTGGACGATTATATCACAATACAATTTTTGTTACTCGACCAACCCTCAGGAGACGCAAATACAACGGTACACTGATCAGTAAGATAAAGAAATTGCATAAATCCACTAGTAAATGCCTGCTCCAAAAGAACAAAAAATCCCCCAATGAAGGCGCAATATTCAGTCATAATTAGTGTCCAATCTCACTTTTTCCTCCCTATGCAAACCATCAAATGAATCTACCACGCTTCATCACGCATAAATGTGGCAATATGCATGCATATATCATAATAATATACGTATAAATATATGCAAGTATCACTGTCTTGCACACCTACCCAACTAATACAAATTCAAGCACATGAAACTTTTGCAATCAAACTTCACATCAAAATCCCTCTCACGCAGTTTCTTTAAGCCTCCATGATAGAAAGAGAGAGCAGAAACCAACCACAATTACACTTAACCAACCTTAGCCATACGTTTCTTTTGGTAGTTTTGTGTAATGATCCAAACACATCACTTGCTGCTTTTAGACAAGTCCCATAATTCCAGTGGTTGTCTCTGCTCATCAGTCTCCTCCACGTTGTAATTACACCCGCCCACACCACACTGTTACTGCTCAAAAACAGACCACTTCTCTTATCTTTCATGGTTTTTTATCATCAGTCTTTTGAGTCTTGAAGCGGTGCGTTGAGGAACAAAAATTTTAACTTTTGGTTTAGTTGTCCTTGAGGAGAGGGTTGTCAAGTAACGCAGCACGATTCGCTTGGAACTGTATTGTATACTTTCTTTGCAGGTCTCTTAGTTTCTCCATCAGTTCTTGGAATGTGGGTCTCAGCTTCGTATCGCTGTCGTGTGAGACAAACCAAAACATAAACACAGATTACTGTCCAAATGTAGATCCAAATCAAAGTGAACCATAATAATTAAAGGTTATAATTTTTCTAGCGATATGCCATGTTCAATACATTATTTGTACCTGTGCCAACAGCTCTCCATTATTGAGATCCAACGAGGATCAATGTCTTTTGGAATTTCCAACCTCTGGTTCATGAACCCCACAGCTCCAATCACCTGAAGGTATATCAAATAATGATTTCTTC